GCTTCTCCCTCTGACCCTCTCCCCTCTCATGCTGTTTCTCTCTCGCTCGCTCTCTAAAAAATAAATAAATAAAATCTTTAAAAAAAAAAAAAAGGATTCTGATTTCAAGACTTTTGGATAAATACCCAGAAGTGGGATTGCCGGATCACATGGTAGTTCTATTTTTAATTTTTTGAGCAACCTCTGTGCTGTTTTCCAAAGCAGCTGCGCTGTTTTATATCCCCAGCACGAGCACTCTGTAATTCTTTGCTATTATGATTAGGTCAGGGTTTTTTAAAAAAACCTTTAACCCATTGTATTATGGAAACATTCCCACATACTCAGAAGAATTTTCTATGCCCCCGCCATGGATGGCAGACAGAATTTCTGGTGTTAAGCAGAATAGTATGCTAAGTACTTGATATGCACAATACGTAGGCTCCTCCTAACAATCCCATGAGGTAGGTACAGTTATTGCCTTCATTTTGTAGAAGAGAATCTGAAGCACAGAGGGGTTGGGTCATGGACCCAAAGTCACACAGCTAGCTAGGGACAACTGAGCTAAAGATTCTGAGAAAGCTTATTTCTTTAGCCACATCTCTGCACTGTCCATTTATATTCTGAATGTGTCCTCCCACTGGAATCCTTCATACTTATAAGTGTGAACAAGTAAGTCATTTCTAAATGCCTTCTTTATGTCGTATTTCCCGCTCCGGGAAAAATAAAAGTTTCATGTTTGGTACCGGTTGCCAGTTCAACATTTACAGGCAAAAACACACCAGTTGAGAGCCTGTCTCTCTTCCAGTCTCAGAGAAGAGCAGTTGAAGATCTGTGAACAATGGACAGTCTGTTTATTATGAAATGCCTTAGCACTTTCTGGGAGATTTCTTGTCATTTCAATACTTGCAAGAATCCAAGAGTCTCCTAAACTTGAATTCCAGAGCCATTTTTAGTAGATGTAAGTTCTCTATTTGTGAAAATCAATAGCAAACTTGAATGAGTCTTCCATCTCATTGGACAGAAAGTAATAACGATTATTGTAAGGAGACAAATCCTTTATCATTGAAATAAAATAGTTACCACGTGGTACATGGCGCCCCGGAAAATACAGTTAAAGCAAAAGGAAAAATTACAAATCACCCACAATTACACTACTGAAAATAAGCACCACTGAAATTGTGAAGCATCTCCTTCAAAATATTATCCTTGCTGGATTATAATTTAGTAAAATACTTGTATTTTATTCTAGTCTAAAGGTTAAATCTAGTGAAATAAATATTTGCTAAAAATTGTGTCTTTTGGGGCACCTGGCTGGCTCAGTAGGCAGATCATGCAACTCTTGATCTCCGGGTTGTAAGTTCAAGTCCCATGTTGGGTGTACAGATTACTTAAACAAATAAAATAAAATTAAATTAAATTAAATTAATTGTGTTTTTCAGATGATGATCCACCAGCTGTAGGTGAGTTGATAAAAACTTTTTTATTAGAGTTGCTTTTTCAATTTGGCAATAAAATGTAAAGTTGTTAAATATTATGCTTCTTTTCCTAGTAAGAAATCCTATTTTTCATGAGAAACTACTATTTTATGTCCTCGTATATAAGATAAAGTACAATCTATGTTAAAGATAATTAAGGAAAAAGAAGAAAGTAATTATAATATTACTGTCAATTTTACTGTTAATATTTTTGAGTGATCAAATAGATCATCCCATACAACTTCATAATATGATTTTCTTTTTTTGCAAAAACAGAGTCTTACAGAACATAATGAAATAGAAAATGAAGATGAAGTGCAAATGTTTTCATATCTATTTATATGTTCCTCTTTGTTAATGTCTGCAGTATTATAAAGCTATATATTTAAGGGGTGCCTGGGGGGATCAGTGGGTTGAGCGCCTGACTCTTGATTTCAGCTCAGGTCGTGATCTCAGTGTTGTGGGACTGAGCACCACCTCGGGCTCTGCACTCAGCATGGAGTCTGCTTGTCCCTCTCCCTCTGCTCCTCCCACCACTCCCGCTTTCTCTCTCAGTCTCTCTCTCAAAAAATTTTTTAAGCTATATATTTTATTTTTAAATTCCCTTACTGATTGGTATTTTGGGATTGATTTCTATTTGGAGAAGTATTATCAGCCATGCTGAAATGAACATTCTTAACCTGAATGTCATTCCATCTGTCCAAAGCATAGATGTGTCTATTGTGACCAATACTAGTTGACATTGGGGAGGTGGGGTGGAGGGGTCCTAATGCATGTGATATTTGCAAAAAGGAAATAATCCATTAACCAGAGAAAATAAGAAGTACAATTATTGTATGATTCATACTTTAAAACCCCTAGGAAATCTAGTAAAAGTTACTAGCTTCAATAAAAGAATCTGGCTTTGTGGCTGGATATAAGATAAATATACAACAGTCAGACACTGATAGAAAAGAAAATCATTCTATTTTACATCAATGACAAAAAACACTTTGGGGTTAAATCAGCAAGAAATGTCCAGGACTTAAATAAGTAAATGATAAAATCATATTGAAGAACATAAAGCAAATTCTAAATAATAGATCATGCCATGTTCTTGTTTGGAAGACATAAGAATAGTGAAATAAATATCAGCTTCAAATTTTCTTTTTCAGAAACTATAATTCACTTTCCAGAAGTCAAAGGTAAGTTCATCAGAAAACTTTTGTGAGTAAAGTATATTTTCTTTTAATTTTGTAAAAATGGGGAGATCAGTAGGGTTTTTCCTGATAAAATTTTTTTCTCTTTTCATAAATTTGATAAAAGCAATTTGTAAACAGGTAAAGAAAAACACGAAATAAAGTCACCCTGAACTTTACTGGCACTATTCTTTAATTTCTGCCAATATAACAGAAAATACCTGATTTTAAAATTCACATAGGAAAAATGTACAATAGTAATTAGGAATCTTATGGAAAAAACATGCTAGAGAAACACCCTGTATTATCAGATATTTAAACAAACCACAATTATAATAATATAAATAGCATGGTGTCAGCCAAGAATGCATCAAATAATAATAAATAATCTTTTCTGATGCTTGCTGACTTCAGACTCTGCTCATTCTACCCTGCACCATCTATTTTAAAGCAAGACAGGAATCATCTGTTTTAAAGGCAAACATTTAAAAATTGTGTAAATAAATCCAGGTAAAACAGCACATTGATAGGAAAGATGAATTGCTATTGTCCTTTGAGGAAGCAATACCCAACAATGTTAACAATTCATATGTGCTTTAACCTAATAATCTTAGTTTTGGGATTCCATTCTGTAGAAATAAATGCTTCGGTACATAAGGATTTACATATATGGAAAGTTTGCTTCTGCTTTATATAGAGGGAAAACAATCTGAATAAGGGAAATACTGAGTAAATTTGGCAAAATCCATATCACAGAATATGAATTGGCATTAGAAAGGAGTTAGAGCTACAAAGGTTAAAAGGATACATTGGATAACTTTTTTGGCTTAAGTGGGTGGATAGAGATGTCCTTCATTGAGGAAGAGACTGATGAGTTCAATTCTAGAGAAAGTTCTGAACTCTGTCTTAAATGGAGGCCAGGAGGGGGGGAAAAAAGATACGTTGGAAAGGATTTTTGTGATAGGTTAAGTTAGAAACAGGTTATGGATATAAACTATGATTCATTTTAGGAGGGAGCAAAAACTCTGTGCATGCATGCCCATATATAATATGTATGGCTGTCTGTATGTTGTATGGATGTATGGATATGTATACAAAATGTCCATATATACGCACGGAGAAAATGGATAGATACAAACCAGGCTATATACATTGTGTGTGTGTGTGTGTGTGTGTGTGTGTGTGTGTGTAAGAAGGTGAAGAAAAGAGATGCAGGGGAGATTGTTTAATAGATAAGTCTCACATTTATGTTTCTGAGCTTAGGCTAGGTTTCTGGAACTGGGGGCCAAATGCTAAGCAAAATATCAAGAGTGTTTATATCATGGAGAAAAGTGGGAACCAGAGTAAGGGTTGAAAACAAGAAACCTTTATTAGTAGGGATCGAACAGCTCTGCTGTTAGGTGACCCAATAATGTTCAGCAGAACCCCAGGCAAAGGCTCTCATTTCAGTACAACCAGGGGAGGTCAAAAGTAAGTTTGTAACATCTCAACTAAGACTCCCAGAGAAAGACCAAGAATTTTTGTTTTCTCTAGATGGCAAATGTTTCTTTCCATTCCACTACAAAAATGAAATATTCTATGACTGCATCAAGTTCAGGACGAAACACAAGTGGTGTTCCCTAAATGAGACTTACCAAGGATATTGGAAATACTGCTCTGAAGATGGTAAGTGTCTTGCCTCTGAACACCCCAGGGTGGTTGGTGATCTCTGTTCAAGGAGATCCGCGAGGGGACGCTGTAAAGGGACTCCGCAGTCAATTAAATTGTGAAAACGAGCTTTGTGCAGGTCTCTGACAGTATGAAAATCACATTGCACCAAAGACATATTATGAGAGCTTCAACCACGTTACCTTGAAAAGAAAGCTTTTAGCAAAACCTCAAACCCCCACCGATGTTGCAGAGCGGATGGTGCTGAATGGGATGGGGTGTGTGAGCCCACGCACGCGTGCATGAGAGGGATGGCACAGAGGCAGTACAAAATAGAAAGATGTCCTCTCCTGATTGCTTCTCTTCTCTGTAGACTTTGCAAAATGCGTGTTTCCCTTCTGGTACAGACACATGATCTACCGGGAATGTACTGAAGATGGGGACGCTTTTGGGAAAAAGTGGTGTTCGCTGACCCAGCATTATAACAAAGACAAGATTTGGAAATACTGTGACTGATGGTGAGATTTTCTGGGAGGGGCACGAAAAGGTCTAATCGTTCTCATTGGAAATAATCTCCAGTTTCTTTGGTGAAAGGAGGAGATAAGAGCCTCCTTATAAGGCTTTTTTTTTTCCCCCTGAGATATGAGTTGAAAGTGATCCAACTGTAAATAACTTGGGGTTTTGGCCATGGACTGTGGATGATGAAGTTTTGATATGGAAACCTTCTTCTAGTGACTTATACTTACTAATACTTATACTTACTAATTGGATAAAATTAGGCCTTTAAAAAAAAAAGTCTATGGACTTTGGGTGATAATGAGGTGTCGGTGTAGGTCTTTCCATTGTAATTGAATGTCCCACTCTGGTGAGGGAGGTGTTAATTTGAGGGAGGGTGTACCTGTGTGGGTGTGGGGGGATACGGGAATTCTGGGTCTTCTCAATTTTACTATAACCTAAAACTGCTCTTAAAAAATAAAGTCTATTAAAAATGCATTACCTTGGGACACCTGGGTGGTTCGGTCAGTTAAGCGTCTGCCTTCAGCTCAAGTCATGATCTCAGGGTCCTAGAATCGAAGCCCACGTCCCGCTCCCTGCTCAGCAGGGAGTCTGCTTCTCCCTCTCCCTCTGTCCCTTCCCCTGCTTCCTCTCTCCCTCTCAGATAAATAAATAAAATATATTTTAAATAAATAAATACGTAAAAGAAACTACAAATCAAGTGGATTAATTCACAGTTTCCATGGTCATGACTTTTATTATATAAAAAGGTATTAAGGTCAAAAAGCAAAGCAGGATTTATCACGTGACCCAGAAATTCCACTCCTGCGGATGGATATACCCAAATGAATTGAAAGCAGGGACTTGGATAAATATTTCTATGCCGATGTTCTTTTCAGCATTAGTCACAGTGGCCAAAAGGGGGAAGCAAGCAAGTGTCCATCAACAGATGAGTGGATGAACAGAATGTGGTGTATCCCAACATTGGAATATTATCCAGCCAAAGAAAGTAATGAAGTTGATACATTCCACAACATGGATGAATCTTGAAAACATTATACTGAGTGAAATAAGCCAGATACAAAGGAATAAATACTGTGTGGTCCCATTTATATGAAATATCTAGAATAGGTAAGTTCATAGAGACAGAAAGTAAGTCAGAGGTTACCAGGGGCTAGAAGGAGCGGGGAAGTAGAGAGTCACTGTGTAATGGATATAGTTTCAGTTTGGGGTGATAAAAATCTTTGGAAATAGACAGTAATCTACTTCACAGTGCACAACATTAAATATAAGTAATGCCACTGAATTATTACACTTAAAAATAGTTAAAATAGCAAATTTTATTGTATATATAGATCTCCATGATTTTTAAATATTAATAATATTTTTAAAAGGTACTATAAATAAAAAGATTTATAAAATTGAATTCTATCCTGGGACGCCCCAACTCATGCTCTCTCTCGCTCGCACTCTCTCTCAAATAAATAAAATCTTTTAAAAAAATAAAAATAAAAAATTAATTTAAAAAAATAATAAAAACGCTGCAGAACTGGAGGGGAAATCAGAGAGTATTGCATGTGTATCCAGTATGTATCCAATATTATTTCTAATATTTTAAGCTGATCCCAAGGAAAAAAAATGTTTTGTAACTTTTTATGGTAACAGACGGTGACCAGACTGTGGTGATCATTTCGCAGTGAACACAATATCAAATCGTTTCATTGTGCACCTGAAACTAATACAGTGTTGTGTGTTAATATAATTCAATAAAAAAACATATACATGTATATCTGCCAAATCATATTTTCAAATGTATTCTTGCTGTAGGTCATGGTGCCCCCTACAAAAACTTTGGAAGCACTGTCTTTGTGGACCCAGAAGACTCATTGTAATCTTTCATGAGAAACAGGAAACCTAAAAAGAATGTTTTTGACTTATTTTTCTAGTCTTTGAATGCTCATAGAAAGGACTGTCTTTGAAGCGGGCTTACTTGTGTCAGGAGAGCAGCAGAACGCGCTGTGACTGAGCCCAGGTGTTGGCAATTAATCCCTAAGGTGCACAGTGATCCTAGGGAGTGGTTGACCAGAGAGACATCTAGTGGTGATAAATAGATCATAGGGTGTTTTTTTTTTTAGAAAGAAAATCAGCTGAAAGCTTGCTATTGGTTACATGGAAGAGCCAAAGAGCCAATCTCCTACCAAATGTCCAGGTATGAATCAGTTCACAGCTTCGATGTCCCTTGAATGATTGGGAGGCTGGACAACTGTGAAGCCGTATACTACAGGTATACACTCTCAGCCTTCTTAGTAGACTTCCCCAACGGGGCACAGTGTTTAGTGTCCAAGAGAAAGGGAAATACATAAACTTTCCAGGGTCTCCTGAATACTGGTTCTGAGTGAAGATTAATTTTCAAGGACTCAGACCACCACTGGGATCCAGTAATTTGAGTGGAAGATTCCAGAAACATGAGACAGAGTCCTCACTTGAGTTCGCTTTGCTCTTGGCTCAGTGAGATACCAAACACGCCTTGCAATCATTTCCCCAGGTCCTGGGAGTGATACAGTTTGAAAAAATATTTTCAGAAAGGTTTATCATTCACATTGGTTCCCTCACTCTTGGACTATCAGCCATTACACTGGAGGTCACTGTTGCTGGTGTCCTACTAGAATGGGGCACAAAGAGAAATGTTCTATCTCTTGGGAATTTCAGAGATAAATGGCACCAAAGATAGACATGAAAGATTGTTACAACCCTATTCATTTCTCTAAAAGGAACAACATAAAAGGCTGCCCAGAGTGGCCATGATATATTATCATGTCAATCCAGTGGTGATCCTTCGGCAGCTGTTGTTCTAAATTCATCTCATTACTGGAGACCCTGGTCCTGGGTAAGCAGCTACTTAGAGAATGTCATTACAAGGCCCCATCTAACTGCAGAAGAAGCAGGCAAATACAGTGTAGCCAGCCCCCCATGTAACCAGCTCCCATTGTGCTACAATGATGGGGGGAGAATGGACTTCTGTAAGCAGCCCTCCATCATGACTCCTGGAACACATTCCACTTGGATTGAAAGAGCATCTTGTGATCGGACCATTCTACAGAACTGACTTCCTCCATGGAGCACTTACTATTTCCTATGCAGAACCATAGAGATTTTCTCAGTTCTGCAGTTATGTGCAAAATTTTGCGCAGGACATTGTTTCATGCTCTGAAGCTATCAGCAATTTGAAGAACACAAATGTAGTTACGAGTGTTGAACCACATCAAAACTGGAAGCTGGAAAAAGTACCCTTTAGAAAATTTCAAATTATTCTATTCCATTGGTCTACATCTGTCTTTAAGTCAGTATCACACTATTTTGATAACTGTAGCTTTTGAAATCAGGAAGTAGGAGACCTCTAACTTTGTCTTTTTTTCAAGAATGTTTTGGCTATTCAGGGTCCCTTGAGATTCCATATGAATTTTAGGATGGCTCTTTCCTATTTCTGCTATATATATATATCTCATTGGCATTTGGTAGGGATTGAATTGAATCCACAGATCATTTGAGAGTCATATTGACATCTTAACAACACTGAATCTTCAATCCATGAACATAGGATATCATTCCATTTATCGGTGTTGTCTTGAATTTCTTCCAGCAACATTTTATAGTTTCCAGTGTTCAGATCTTTCACCTCCTTGGTTAAATTTATTCCTAAGTATTGTATTCTTTTTGATGCTATTGTAGATGGGTTTGTTTTCCTAATTTTTTTTCAGATTGTTCATTGTTAGCATAGAGAAATGCAACTGAATTTTGTGTGTTGATTTTGTATCCTGCTACTTTGCTGATTTTATTAATTAGTTCCAACCGTGTGTGTGTGTGTGTGTGTGTGTGTGTGATCTTTAGGGTTTTCTACGTATAAGATCATGTTGTCTATGAACAGAGATAATTTTACTTCTTTTCCAATTTGGATACCTTTTACTTCTTTTTTCTTACCTAATTGTTCTGGCTAGGACTTCCAGCACTATGTTGAATATAGAAGTGGTGAGAATTGGGCATCTTTGTCTTCTTCCTGATCTTAAAGGAAAGTTTTCAGGTGTTCATGGTTGTGTGTGATGTTAGCTGTGAAGTTCGAGAACTAACCCTGAGTTAAATATTTTCCTGCTAAATTTTAGGTTTAACTGTTGTTGTTCAGAATGAATACACATTCTGAGATCCTAGAACCAATGTTCATTTGAGACCCAGGTGCCCCTGGTGGATCTTTCAATACGTAGATTCTGATCTTCTTTTATTTTTGCATAGTTTTCTTTGATTGTATCGCAAATACTATTTTTCTTCCTTTGTCTTGTTATTCTTTTTCAGGGACACGCATTATAAATGTCATGTAAGTTGCTTTATTTCAATCACAGCCTCTATAATTCCTGTTATATTTTTATCTTGTTTTCATCCTCCTGGGCCTTTCTTAAATGCCCCTTCTTGAGTCTGCACTTAGAGCTACTGTCCCTTGGCCACATTTTAATTTAGTTTTCACTTCGGACACTTTATATTTTTTTTCTCCATTTCCAGCTCGTTCCATTTTTTCCCCATTTTTAAAAATTCATTTTAGTACTTTTTGAATTTCTAATTCAAGATGTTTTTCCTATCTCCAAACACTTATTTGAGGATATTTCACTCCCTTGCTTCATTTGCTTCTGGGGTGTGTGTGCGCGCGCGCACGCACAAAGACCGCCACCTTGTAGCATATCACACTCGGGGTTGATGGTTTTTTAAGATTTGTAGCTCAAGGGCGCCCTCTGTCGTCCACATAGTGAGAGACCGTTTCTTTCCTGGACGGCTTTTTACGGGGGAGGAGGGGCGCTCAATGGCGGGAAGGTTTGTGGTTTCTTCTATTTGGGGGCTTCTATTTTATTTCATAGTGTCCTAAAGTGTGCCCTTCCTTTCCCTTATCACCAACCAGCCTCCAAAGGATTTCTTCCTTCTGTTTGCCCTCGTCTCCTACAAAAGCATCCCCATCAGCCACCTCAGGTCTCTGTACTTCC